CATTGCATTGATTTCTGCTCTGATCTTTATAATTTCCTCTCTTGTATGAGCTTTGGGTTTGTTATGCTCTTCTTTTTCTAGGAGTTTGAGGTTCTGTATTAGGTTATTATTTGAGCTTGCTTTGTTTTCCTAATATGGGCATTCACTGCTATGAATTTCCCATGTAGAGCTGCTTTCATTTTGTCCCACAGATTCCTATGTTGTACTGGCATCATCATTTACTTGTAGAAACTGACTAATTTCTTCTTTAATTTCCTCTGTGACCCATTGGTTGTTCAGGAGGGTGTTATTCAATTTCCATACGTTTGTGGGAGTTTGATTTCTTATGTTATTGATCTCCAATTTTATTGCACTATGGTCTGATAATATACAGGGGGTAACTTCAATTCTTTTACCTTTACTTAAACATGTCCTATGAATTAGAATGTGGTCTATTTTGGAGCATGAACCGTGTGCAGCTGAAAAGAATGTATATTCTGTACTTTTGGGGTGTAACGCTCTGTAAACATCTATTAAGTCCATTTGTTCAATGGCTTGTTTCAGTTCTAGAATTTTGTTGTTAATTTTTTATCTAGATGATCTGTCTATTTGTGATAGTGGGGTATTGAGGTCTCCCAGTACAATTATATTAATGCTTATTTGGTTTTTAATGTCCATTAATATTTGTTTTGTACAGTTGGGGGCATTCATATTTGGTGCATATATATATTTATGATTGTCATCTCTTCCTCTTTGATTGTTCCCTTCACAACAATGTAGTGACCATCTTTGTCTCTCTTAATTAATTTTGGCTTGAAATCTACTTTGTCTGCAAATAAGATTGTTGATAGCAGTTATTTAGAAGATAAAGGTATGAAATATTTTGGTTAATGCACAAGTGGAAAAGAAGTTGATGGCACTTTACTTGGGCACCAAGAAAGCCTTTTGTTTTTGTTGTTTTTTCCCGTATTTATTCAATTTGCTTTCACTTGGAGAATGAGAATCTGATCAAAAACAAATTACTTAGTTTACATGTGGGGGTTTTAGTGGAAAAATTTAGAGGCTAAAAGGAAAGTTAAATAGTAGAGCAAGTTAGAGAAGCATTACACAAAATGGAGCAGTTGCCCTGGAGTGTCTCGTGAGCAGAATCCAGGGTAATCCCTGCAGTCCATGTCCCATTGTTGCAGCTTGCTGGACCTTGGGGGATTCATTAACTGCCCGTGCACCCCACATTAACTTTAGGACCTCCACGACTTGTCTCTTGTCCCTGAGTAGCACGGCCCGAGATGTGGACTGCAACTTCCACTTCCCTGACAGCATTGCAGGTGAAACCTCATAAAGTGTGTGGAAAACACTTCCATAGCATTTCATTTGTAGCAAAATGTGTCTTATTTTTATGAGCTGCTAACTCTGCTTGTTTCCCCACCCACCACCCTTCCCAATTCTTTCTCACGTTGGTTGCACACTAGAAATAATACATTTTATGTTTTCTCTCCCAAAGTATCAGATGGTACTCATTAAAGAATAGGACTGAGCTTGCTGTATATGAATACTTATAAAGAAGCATGAAAAGGGCCAGGGATTTAGCTCAGTGGCACTGTGCCTGCCTTGCAAGTGCAAGGAAAAAAAAAAAGCAAGGAAGCACATCATTCCTACAATTCCAGCTTTGGAAATAACCAGGACAAGAGTCTGTAGAAGAGCGGAGACTCCTCAAAGTCCAGGAAACCTCTGCAGAGGAGGATTCCACACATGCTGATTACAGGCTGTGCGGCCTTGGGTCTAAGTTAAAGATGGATTGTTGTGAAGATAAAAAGAGATATCGTGTTCTTTACAAACTGAGAAGTGGGTTATTGTGCAGTTTCTCCGATGACCAGGTTCATGAACCCATCCTGAGGGACTGATGTTCCAGGCACTAATGAGATCACCTCTTCCCTTTCACTAACTCCAGGGCAGATGGAATTTACTCTTAAAGAATGATTTCTGAAGTTAAGACCAGCTAAACTGAAAGAACTCATACAATCTCTAGCAAGAAAACAGGTGGCAACCTACTGCCTTACTTTTAAAGACCTTAAGTTAAGAATCTTTAGGAAAATGATTGGCATTTTATGTTCTACGCACTTCCAATATCAGCCCTATGAAAAGCTGAGCTGAGAAGTTATGCCACACATAAAACATGAGAATAGGGGTTTTAAGTAAAAGCTCTTGGTTTACTTTGTCTTTCTTATTTGGTGACTGTCAAGAGACACTGAAATAGGACGCTTTGTGCCAAGGGTCGGCGGAGGCCACCAGGCAGGTGCTTCCAGAGGGAGGGAAGGAGGTTGGAAGAGAGCTGAGGGCCTCGCTCCTTCCTGGGCCCAGCTTGCTAAGGAGCCAGAGCGAGCTTGCCCGGGGTGAGAAGGCCGATCTTGGGCATGTAGCTTCACCTCTGCTCTGCAGCGAGCCTGTCAACAGCTGTCCGCTTTCTGTTTGTTCCCGACTTACCCTGCGAGGCCGAGGGAGGTTTCTCGGGCTGGAGGGCAGCACAGGCTGGGCGCGGTGAGGGCAGCGGGGGTCTGCAGCAGGCTGGCGGCTCTCCCTCAGGGTCCAGCTCGGTCACCGGGATGAAGACATACAGGTCATCATAGGGGTCCTCAGAGCTCTCGCTGGACCCCTCTGTGGGGCTGAGCTGCACATCCTCACCTGGCTCAGGCTCCTGTCCCTCCCCCGTCTCCTCGGTGGCGTCTGTGACTCCCTCACTCTGCCTGGGCTTGGTCCTCCTTCCACGGTGCAAGGCCGTACTCTCTGAGGCTGTGCGGGAGGAGACTGTCATCTCACCGGCCTCCTCCCCCACGACCTCCATTCCATCCTGAACTTTCCCCAGCGATGCAGTCCCACGACCTCCACCTTCTGAGCCAGGCCACCACTCGGCTTTATATTATCCACAGCAAATGCTCTTTAACTACTCAGGAGGAACATAGCAAAAATAGTAGAGTGCAATAACTTTAAATCTTAAAAAAACCTTCCATTAAATTTCATTTTTTTAGCAAAACCTCTAAATAAAGGATTGCAAACATTTGATAGACCTTTAGAACTTCCAAACTGAACCTCTAAGGCAGACTTTGGACTATGTAAATGATTGTTTCCAGTGCAAATATTTGTTTTATGAGGTTGTTAAACTAAAATACTGCTTAAAAAGTCAGGCGGTGGAGTGTAGAGAAAAAGTACTTTTTAAAAAAAAAAATCAAGAGTTATACGGTGGAAAATTTTCAGCAATAGCAGAAAAATTAATGATTTGGAGAAATCACACCCAGCATGGTGTCTGGATTGCAATCTGGAATTTTCTTTCTTTCTTTTTTCTGTTTTTTTTTTTTCTTTCACGTGAGAAAGAAGAAAGCTGCAGTTTGCAGGACTAGAACTGAAGCAGGTCCTTAATTACCAGCCTGGGAAGAACAGGCAGGCTCATGTCTGAGTGCTCATCCATCTTGCTACTCCTAACCCCCAAACACTGCGCCTATTAAGAGGAGTCCCTAAAATGTGATGGATGGAAGAGAAGGGAGTGGGAAGAAGTTACTGCTCGGGCACTTAGTCCTCTGGTCTGGGTGATGGGCTGTGAGAGTTGTGCATTAGAAATTACTTGTAGGCACACTTTGTATTCAGTGTCTCTTGAGACTGAACAACAGTGTCTCCACGATGCTTATTAAACATGGAGCCCATCGCTGGAATGCTGGTTCGGGTGGGATGGTGGGTGTTGGGATGCTTCCCAGTGGTGGTGATGCCAATGGAAACTGCCTGACTTGGGAGTTCTATTCTTTACCCCTCCATGCAAGTCGGGAGGCTGAGCCTAGTCATGCAGTTTCATATATGAGAGAGTTTTTGCTTCCTCACTACAGAAATAAATTTTTCTTCACAAGCTAATGTAGTAATGTTTCCTATTAAAGGCATTTTTCAGAGGATTAAATATTATAAAAAATGTATTGTCACTACCAATGATGGCCCTATCACCACCTTTATTATCATTAAAATGATAAAATATGTACCAGAAACCTTGCTGCATTGATTTAATATTTAGCCTTTGTGTGTTTTACAACAGTATTTGCAGGAATTTACTGATTTTCATAGTATACTCCTTAAGCATTGCCTTGCATTTTCTTCGGTTTGCATATCAGCTATTTTCATTTCAAAAATCTTGTGATCGTGAGTGTCCAATGGAACACCTAGCAAGCACAGTCACACATGCTGGAGATGTGAGCAAAGCAGTGAATGAAGCAAGTCCTGATACCTTCCAGTGTGTATTTTAGGAGAGGAGAGGCCATAGACCACTAACAAGATACAGGAAATACAATGTTAAACAATGCTAAGGAGCAGGTGGAGGAAATGAAGGGGAATGGTGTACTGGGCCTCCTGGTGTGAAGGACAAAGTGAGGTAAGCAGACACTGGAGGAAGAGTCTGTGGAGGGGGCACAAGGGGCTTGGTGCATGGATGTCGCCATAGCCTGGGACAAGGAGGGGCGTGGTCAGAGAGAGAACCAAGCCTATTTACTGGCCAGAGCCTGCGAGTGATGAGAAGGAGTTAAAGTCCCGAGGCTTTGTGCAGAGGGTGAAGGCTTCCTCTAGGAGGCACAGAGAGAGGTGTGGCAAGTGTGGGCACTGCTCTCATGGTGCAACACGGGTTCTCTGGTGGGAGAGGAAGTAGGGCAGAAATGCCAGGGTGACTCCAGGGACTGGGACTGCCTCGAACAGACAGGAAGGAAGGAAGGGATTTTGCTGGCACCCTGCCCTGGGCCATCAGCAGGTGAGGTGGACAGTGCGGGAGAGGCAGGAGTCTGAGTTTCCAGAAACCTTGAGTGTCAGACACCATCAGAATCCTGCTAAGGTGCTGAGCAAGCCGCTGCACAAGGACGGCCTGACCGCCACTGCAGGGAACATTGCCTTAGTCTTCAGACTTGGGACGCCAGGCCAGGAGGTGTCAAAGCAGCAAGGACCTTACGGTCTAGCCTGTACTTCCCGCTCAGGTGGAGGAAATGAAGACCTGCAAAGAATGTGGCTACACTTTGAAAGGATACTTGCAAAATATAGTTGTCGAATAGAAAAATGTATATCAGGGTGACTTGGGTATATTTTTCTGGATAGGAAAACCAGTGCTTAATTATTAGGCCTTGAGCTTACTGAAGTATTTAAATCAGCAAATGCAATAGCATCTCCACCATATTATAAGTTAAAAGTCACTCAGTCAGTGAAATAGCTTTTCATATCCTCTTCAGTGATACTCTTCTAGTACATAAACCATGATATAAAAGTTGCACACACACACACACACACACACACACACACACACACACAAAATGTAGAGAGACTTACAAGGAGAGTATGCAGAAGGGGAGGCTCTATCCTTTTCATCGTCATTTAATTGCTCATTATTTCTACTAATTTCTTGGATCTGAAAAAAACAAATGTAATTTTCAATAATGCATATCAATTCTAACAAGTCTCCCTTTGATAGCTGCACAAATAAGAAATAGTTTGTACCCTTTTATTAATGCATCAATGCTGTCATACTGAGTCCCTTGGCTGGGCCTTTCTAATCCTTGCAAGGGATGCGAAATCCACAGTAATGAAGCTTGCAAGTTCTTAGTGACACACAAGACTGGAAACACCAGTGAGAAAGTAGAGCATTTACAATGAACAATATGTTCGTTTAAAATGAAACTTACTCCAACTATCTTAAGATGGGAAAAGAGCAATGATCATGACATTGAGTGCAATAAAAACTTCTAAATAAAATTAAACACAACTTTTTCTTTTAAGAGCTGTGGGCTTTGCTTCCTTCTTATGTTTCTGTATATTTTACCACCGAAAAATGTATCTTTAATGACATCCAGTATTATAATACAGTGAAAAATAATGAATTTATGCAGGTATTTATTTTCCATCTTTAAGAGGAAGAAACCAAGTAAGGGTACAGAAATCACTTCCCCTATCCTCTCTCTCTCTCTCTGCCACTTTCTCTCTTCGTATCTCTTTATTTATTCCCAAGTGCTGGGGATGGAACCCAGGGTGTCTCATGTGGTCAGCGTGTGCTCCATTACAGAGCCACACCCTGGCTCCACCATTCTTAGGTGAAATGACAGAAACCTGCTGTGTCTGGGCTTGCTGGCCTTTGTTAATAATCTGTGGAGGAGACACAGAATCTGTAGTTGTGGCATGTGCTTGCACTCATGGAGAAAGCTAGGTACCACCCATGACAGCTGTGTTTGTCTCAGAGAACCTAGGGAATGGGGTGGGGCCCGGCTGCCTTGTATGTATGTCAGACTTGGCTAACATGAGCTCCCAGCGATTACTCAAATGATTTATGGTTTTGTTTTTAAATAACAAAAACAAAATTAGAATTGTTAGGACATTTGCTCTACATTAGAAATATCTACATTCGTGTACTTACATCGTGTAGAAGCGTTTGTGTAGGAAACCACTTAACCTGCCTGCTGGCTTCACCAATGTGGTTTATCATAAGCTTTAGCCAATGAGGTTCCAGTGGCATTGATTCATTTGGTTTTCTTCTTAAAAAATGTATTGTTATCGGAAAGCAACACCATCCCTAATTTACAGAGGCATTTTAAGAATAAAAGTCTCTGTAGTATTTTTTAGGGAGCTCAATTAAATAACTAATTTTATACTTCAATCTTGTTTTCCCATTGGTGGATTCTGTAAAATGCTAACATGAAAATAGTCATGTAGTTTAGTATTGGGAGTGGCATGTTGAATGAAGTCTGTATGCTTTGGGAGTAAAATCATTGTTTAGTGTAGCTATTCTTTGTTTCCAATTAGTCTATCCCATATGTTTCCTAAGGTACATGAAGCAACTCTTTTAAAAATGCATAGTATTCTCAAAAACACACAAAGGAATGCTTTTGCTAGTTGACTATCAGGAATTATTTCCACAGATTTATAGGAACTGAGAAAATTCCTACATATTATTCACTAGCCTAGGCATTATGAGCTCAAAATCACTGTAAGTTAATAAAAAATCTGGCTAGTGTTAAATGTATGTGTATGTGCTAAAGTTGAAACTTAAGGAAATCATTCTTGTGTCAGAACTTAAGCCACGTGACATTTGTACAAACAGCAAACAAGTCTATCTCAAAGGAACTTGCTTCTATTTTTTTAAACTTTAGTACTAATTTTTTCTTAACTTTAGTACTTCAATAATTATGTAAATTCATATTTTGCATAATTCCTTCTCATACATGAATTATTTTCTCAAGAGTGAAGTTATCTTTAGAAATATTTACACAAAGAAATGAATTCCTTACAGTGAGAATCACATTTGAAAAACATGCTAGCTAGGTATGGTGGCCAAAGCTGGGAATCCCTGCATTTTGGAGGCTAGGGCAGGAGGATCATGAGTTCAAGGCCAGCCTGCGCTACATAGAGAGACCTTGCCTCAAAACCCACACCCCTGTCCCCCAAAAAACCATGCTAGATCTAATGAGTCATTAGATCTAAAGACATCTTCAAGAGAGGTCTTGTGGCATTCTGTCATCTAGCTACTTTTATACTTGGCTATGTGGTGCCATGGACAGAGTATGGAATTGGAGTTAATTTAAGAACAAATTACAGATTTATAATTTATTAGCTGTGTAACATTGGGCAAGACGCTTAACTCAAATCCTCACTATTGCCCTATAAAATGTGGCTAATAATGTGTATGACATCTGTTTGCTGGAAGGATAAATTAGAATAATGTAAGCAATACAGGTGTCTCTTTAGCACATAGTAGGTGCTCAATAACTGTAATCTACACATTAGATTCCTCTTCTTCATTTAAAATATAGATCATATGAAAAACCAGCAAGCCTGATTTCCTTTTCTTGAGCTAGAATCTGACTTCATTCATTCAAGAAATTGCTAAGCAGGCCTGCTAGATGTTTAACACTCTGTTGATATAAGGAAGTTAAAGATTAAAAGATAAATAATTCCCGCTGTCAAAAATATCACATTTTGAGCTGAGATTTCAGGCCTGTGCCACCATGCCTGGCTAATAAGATTTGTTTTTAATACACCATGCTTGTGGCTATTTTCTGTGAGGTACCGGCACCTTTACTAGGCCTTCCACTTGATTTGACTTTGGCAGTCTCTGTCACTGAAATGAAAGTTAAAATTAAAATTCACTTCTTTGTTAGGGTTGTCATTACTAATGTCATATAATTAATAGCTACCTTCATTTGAGACTAGGGAATCTCAATACATATATATTTGCAACACGCTAACAAGAAGTTAATTCTGCTTCTCATACACTGACATAAGTTTAAAACAATTATCACACTAAAAATGTAACAATTTGGATATATTTCCCAGCGAACTTTGTTTTTAAAAGCATTCTAGGAGCTAAAGTGCCCAGTCCTCTCATCGGTTGGTTTTTCCTGGGCTCCATCCTGTCCCTGTCTTATCCTCAGAGAAGGTTCAGTAAGCGCCATGACATTTAATCCATATTGCTCTCCGAGGACTCCTGGGTATCTTGAGCTCCAGATTTTCTTGAGGTCTGGAGTCTAGGATTGGGAAAATACTACTAGAAGAAGCAGTCAAAGAAGCAAAGGGTAAAACCTGGAAAGAGATATATCAAAAATATTAAGATAGAGGTTTCAAGTAGATCACACCCCTAAAGGATTCACCAAGCAGAGAAGGAAAAGCTCTGAAAATGGTTCTTTAGGTGGATGGAGAAGGAAGAGTGTGGGATGAGAAGGGGAAGGAAAATAACAAAGGTGGGACATGTATACAAACCAATTCCCCAGGGTGAATGCAAAACATTTTGGAAACATACACTAATAAAAAGGAAGATCCAAAAAAGACAGAAAAGCAAAAGGTTTTGTAGTGACTCCTGGTGAGGAGAACCACAGGAATTGCATGAATTCAAACTGGATTGAAGGAGGCTATTTGAATAGCCAAGGTGAAAGGAAATGAGAACTAAGGAAGGAAACGTATTTACTGGTGAAAGAAGATACGAGAAAAATCCTTGAAATGATATGGACCGGATTTATGAGAACTCTTTTTGATGCAAAGGCTGGAGGAAAGGAGTCAAATATGTCCATGTACATTTCTGTCTTAATGTCTGGTAACTGGTTCTAATGTTTACATTCTCTTTTCAGATGCTCCCCCAAAGAACTCTTCTCAATTTCAGATGAGGACACTGATTAATACCATCTTTTTATGAAGTATGTTCGAGTTTGAAGTCAAGGTAGAATATATACATTACAAGTTCCCTTTAGGGCCAGGGATGCAGCTCAGTGGCGCTGCACCTGCCTGGCAAGCACAAGGTCCTAAATTCAATCCCCAGTACCCGAAATCAAAAACAAAAACCAAGCTCCTTTTGCCCTGGTTCCTGGCACATGGAGGCATACTTGGAGTGGGCATGTGACTATAAAGTGATGAGATGTTTAGCAGCTTTGTGAGGTCAAGAAGTTACTGTCTGGGACACAGAAAGTACAATGGTGCCTTGGTTCACAAACACTTGTTTTTGTGAACTCTACACTGAGTGAGAAACATGACCACGGCCATCTTTCCCGCACAAACCCAAACATGGCCATCTTTTCCAGAATGGTGGAACAAGTGAAGTTTGTGAACTGAGGTGCCACTGTAGTTGTATGGTGACCAAATAAACTATTAATTTGATCAATGAGACATTTAACTATGAAAACAGGCTAATGGAACTGACTTGCAGAATTACTAAGTGCGAAGTCAATATTAAGTTGTAAAGATACCTAGACATTTGTTCAAATATCACTATTACTATATTTCCTTCTGAAAATAAATGTTACACAAAAGCTTGCCAAGAACTTGAGTGCATCAACTGGTATTAGGCACTCGTGAACAGTGCACTGAAAAGAACCACAGAGCTCTGTCTACCATTTACAAATGAAGTTACATGGTGAGGAGACGGGCAAAGAAAGGGTTTAATAAAAGAGGGAATAAGAGACAGAGAAGAGTTCAGATGGTCATCAGGATGTAATCACATAAGTCAAAGGTCAAAGCTAAGAGGTAGAGATTAACCTTCCTTAGTTTCAGAATGGTCTTCAGAACTCAGCTAAAACACTCCAAAGAAGGAGTTTCTGGTAAATACAACTTTATCAAAATTACAACAACTAGACCTGGGAAATTCCTGGTATGCCATCTAACATGTTCAAGCCTGATCATTAGCACCAACATTGGTCAGTCAATAAACTTAAATGTTGTATCCGTGCGATGCTTGGTGTGTAAAGAAAACACAAAACACCACTCTGTCAGGAGTACAAATCATTAGCCTGTTTAGAATGCTCCAATCCAATCAAATTTTTAAGAAGTCCTTTCATTTGGATGCCAACTAAGTAGAAAGTAAACAATGGATGGCTTTACATGTTCCCAAGTTGGTAGATTGAAATCAGTGACGAGAAAGAGCCAGGTTTATAT